ACTAATTTATAAATACCCTAAAGTACAATGACTAAAATTGAGTTTTTACCATTATCAAAAAAATAAACAAAAAACAACCAATTTTTCAGTGCATTTAATTATTTGCACTTTCGGTGGAAATGTGCAGCCAATTTGGACTTTGGAATTTCAACAATCTCCCACTTTAAGATTAGATTGGAACAATCATATCTTCACACCATTCTTTCTACCTTTTACCTTCATGTTGCTTACATTTCTGACAGGCCACAGGAGGATCGACACTAGGTAAATTTATCAGCGTTGATCGCCTTCGTCATAAAATCTGCTATGTTGTCTTTGGTATGGATCTTCTACATATCTACCGTTCCTTCTTCCACCTTTTCATGAATGAAATGGTACTGAACTCGTATGTGCTTTGTCCTTGAATGAAATGATGGATTCCTTGCTAGATGCAAGGCGCTTTGACTGTCACAAAATAGAGAGACATACTCTTGATTGTGCCCAAGCTCCTCCAATAGCATCTTCAACCAAATTGCTTCTTTACTGGCTTGTGTAGCTGTTACATATTCTGCTTCTGTTGTGGATGTAGCCACAACTGACTGCAACTTAGAAACTCAGCTTACAGCTCCATCAGCAACTTTGAACACATATCATGTTGTAGATTTGCTTTTATCCAAATCCCCTGCATAGTCAGAATCTACATACCCATTGATTAATAAGTTTGATCCTCCGTAATATAATGAAACATTTGAGATCCCTTTGATGTATCTCAGGATCCTTTTTACTGTATTTCAATGCTCTTTTCCTGGATTCGCCATGTACCGACTAACCACTCCCACTGCTTGTGCAATGTATAGTCTTGTGCATATCATAGCGAACATTAAACTTCCCACTGCTGATGCATATGGCACTCGAGACATCTCCATCCTCTCTTCTTCATTGCTAGGACTCATACTGGAGGATAATTTGAAGTTAATAGGAAGAGGGGTAGAAATTGGCTTACAATCTTGCATGCTGAATCGTGACAAGATCTTCTTCAAGTAACTCTTTTGTGAAAGTCAAATCTTCCTATTACTTCTGTCTCGGTGAATTTGCATCCCTAGAATCTTGTTTGCTGATCCCAAGTCCTTCATTTCAAATTCCCTAGCCAGTTGTGCCTTCAATTCTTCAATATGATCTTTGTTGGGTTCTGCAACCAACATGTCATCCACATACAACAGCAATATAACAAAATCGTTATCACCAGACCTCTTGAAATAAGCACAAGGGTCTGCATTAAGTCTGTTGTATCCAAGGCACATAATGAAGAAATCAAATCTCTTATACCAACACTTCGGCGCCTGCTTTAGACCGTACAGAGATTTGTTCAACCTGCAAACCAAGTTATTCTTTTCTTCTTCTTCAAAACCTTCAGGCTGAAGCATGTAAATCTCTTCTTCAAGATTTCTATGAAGAAAAGTTGTTTTAACATCTAGCTGCTCTAGATGTAAATTCAATGTAGCACACATTGCCAAGACTACTCGAACTATTGTTAGTCGAACCACAGGAGAAAAAATTTCATTGAAATCAATACCTTCTTTTTGAGTATATCATTTGACCACCAGTCTTGCACGATACCTCTCAACTTGATCGTCCCCATTTTGTTTGATTTTGAAGACCCATTTGTTACCAATTGGCTTCCTTCCTTGTGGTAGTTGCACAAGGTCCCATGTATTATTTTTATGAAGGGCTTCAATTTCCTCTTGCATCGCCATCATCCACAGTGAAGCATCTGAGTTGTTTATTGCCTCCTGGTATGTTGATGGCTCACCGTCCTCTGTTAAAAGGCAGTATGCAATATTACCTTCTATAATATAATCTGAGTGCCAATTGGGACGTCTTCTCACACGATCTGATTGACGAGTTGTTAGAGCTTCAGAACTCTCTGGTTCTTGTTCATCATGTGCTAGTTCTGCTTCAGAAGAATCTCCTTGTTCAAACTCTTTTTCAACATGTATCTGTGTATTCTCTGACTTTTCAGCGCTATCATCGTCTTCTTTTCTTTGTAGTTTATCTTCTACAAAGATAACATCCCTGCTGATGATCACTTTACGGGCAGTGGGCTCCCACAAGCGATACCCCTTTACTCCATCAGCATACCCCAAGAATTTGCATTTCCTGGATTTTGGATCCAGCTTTCAGATTTCTTGGGAGTTTTACATCACGTACACAATACTTCCAAATATATGGAGGCTTGAATAATCAGCTGGTTTACCAGTCCACATCTCCATTGGTATCATCAGCTCTATTGCAGTTGATGGAGCTCGATTCACCAAATAACAGGCGGTATTGACTGCTTCTGCCCAGAATGATTTTTCTAGGCCTGCATCCCTCAACATTGCTCTTGTTCTTTCTAACAAGGTTCTGTTCATCCGCTCTGCCACTCCATTTTGTTGAGGAGTGTTCGCCACAGTGAACTGTCTTTTGATGCCTTCTTTCCTACAAAAGTCATCAAATTCTTCGCTTGTGTATTCTCCTCCATTATCTGTTCTGAAACATTAGGATGCACCCAACATCTCCTGGAGTAGTCATCAATAAATGAGACAAAGTATTTTTCTCCACCTAGGGACGTTACTGGTGCTTGCCATACGTCAGAGTGAACCAATTCTAGAACACTTTTGCCTCTAGAATTTGATGTGTTAAATTTCAACCGGTGCTGCTTACTTGTTATGCAATGCTCACACAAAGTAAGTGATACCTTTGTTAAGCCTGGAAGTAGCTTTTGCTCCACAAGGACTTTCATTCCTTGTTCTGACATGTGTCCAAGTTTCTTATGCCATAGCATTGCAGAATATGAAATACATGAGGCAACAGAGGCTTCTGCTTCTAGCAATGTCTCTCCCTTCAGCATGTACAAGTTTGCAGCTATCTTTTCACCTTTCAGCACCACAAGCGCTCCACGGAACACCTTCATGATTCCTTTCCGTGTTTAAATCTTGCTAGCATTATTATCCAACAATCCGTAGGATAATAAATTTTTCTTCAGACCTTTCACGTGCCGCACATCTCGAACAACTTTAATTGTTCCATCATACATCTTCAATTTGATGGTTTCCACGCCAACGATCTCTAAGGCATGATTATTGCAACTATACACAGATCCTCCTGAGACAGGTTCATAATGATAGAACCATTCTCTTCTTGAGGTCATGTGATATGTTGCTCCCGAATCAATGAGCCATATATCTGCAAATCATTTTCTTCCTTCCACGGTGGTTGACGCTTCACAGCATAGAGCATCTCCATCATCTGAAGTGTTTGCGGTATTGCCTTGTGGATTGGAGTTTTTATTTAGACTCCAGCAATCCTTCTTCAAGTGACCCTTCTTTCCACAGTTGTAACACTTTAAATTCTTCTTGCTTCTCGACTTCGATCTACCATGTTTGTGACTGATGCTTTGGCCACGTTCTGTTGATCTCCCTCTCATCGTTGTCAACGCTTCTGCTTGTTGCAGATTTACTTGTCTGTCTTCCTTGTTCTTGCGCCGATTTTCTTCTTGTAGAACAGCAGCTGCAACGTCATCGAAGACTAGACTGGTGACATTACTATTTGTCAAGTTAATGATGAGTTGATCATATGAATCCGGTAGACTTTGAAGTAGAAGTTCAACACGTTCTTGTTCTCCTATTTTACAGCTTAAGGAAGTAAGCTGAGAAAATAAAGTGTTCAGTGTATTTAAGTGCTCCGTCACTGAAGTAGATTCTGGCATACGAAGAGTGTACAATTTTCTCTTAAGGAAAATTTTATTGTGCAGCGATGTGGCCTCGTACAGTTTGGTGAGATGATCCCATATCTCCTTAGTTGTCTTATTCTCCTCGATACTTGACAATACTTCATCTGCTAATGCTAGATGAAAGTTTGTCATAGCATTTCCGTCCATTTCGATCCATTTGTTGTCGTCTGTGAAATCTACTGTCCTTCCGCTGATAGCTGCTAGACAACCGTCTTTCCTCAGGATGACCTTCATCTTCAATTTCCACAATGAGAAATTTCTCCCATTGAACTTTTCAATATCAAATTTCGTTGCCATTGCTTCGTTTACGGATAGCTCCCACTATTTCACTATCGTGAATAGTTCTCTGGAACCTTCAAAGAATTGGTAATAACTTCTTACTTTCTTATGTTGGAGGATCCACCTTTTGGTGGCAACCACAAAGACAATAAGCAGATATTACACACTCTAATCTAGCTCGGATACCAATTGTTGCGGAAGACGACTATCGGATAGAGCAAAATCGCAACTGATAATTTGAGAAAATAAAAATGAAGATAAAAGAGAGACAAATTTTACGTGGAAAACCCCTAAATAATATAGGGTAAAAACCACGGGCAACGGTAGAAGAATTTCACTACGAGAAAAATAGGAATTACAACCTCTCTCGATCTACCAATGAGAAAACAATGATAATTCTCTCTTGATAAAAAGGAGAAAACAACTCTCAAAAAACTCTCTAAATTCTCTCTAGTATTGGAAGAAAGCTAGAATGCTTTGGGATGATTTTGAAGCTAAATGAGTTAGGGTATTTATAGTTGAAGCTTTAAGGACTAATTTATAAATACCCTAAAGTACAATGACTAAAATTGAGCTTTTACCATTATCAAAAAAATCAACAAAAAAACAACCCATTTTTTGGTGCATTTAATTATTTGCACTTTCGGTGGAAATGTGCAGCCAATTTAGACTTTGGAATTTCAACAACAATCTGCATCACAAAGAAAATCAACCAAATAGCGAAGGTATGTTACGAGAATTTGAATGTGACATATTGCTTGGAATTGAAATGTGACGGTCAGAGATGGGTATCTATTAAATATGAGTATGTTCAATTTTTATAAGGTTTCCTTTTCATGTGTTTCAAGGAACCATTGTTTCAAGGAACCATAGCGAGTCAGATATGAGATGTCCAAATATGCATCAGACATTGATATCAGGCATCGATATTTCAACAAAAATGGAGTCCTTTAGCAACAAGAACCTTTTACTATATTCCAATCCTAATGAAAATGGAATCCAAAACAGTACTGAAAATAGTAAAGGGATATTGCACACAACAACCATTCAAAGACATTATCCATACCACTAAGGGAGGAATCTCTTCCCCGTCTTTGAACTTGGACCTGTGTTCTGATATCTGGTCTTCACACCATAGAAAGACTGGTATGTAATAGTGATAAAACCTTGCCTTCTCGGGAATGGTAAGGTAAAGTTCATTGAGCTGAAACAACCGACAAAGCTTCGATCCATAAAACAACCACTTGTCAATGGATTCTGCCACCTTTTCAGCAGTCAGTCCCACTTTGTCCAAAAGAGGACCAGAGCATATGAAATCATAAAGGTCCTGCACAGAGGAAACTTGTGCAGGTTGTGTGGGAAACGCTGAATATATTGGACCCTCCCTTAATCTGCTACGAATACTAGCATCGCGATTCATGGAGGTATCTTGCAACCATGAGCTGCCACAGCCTGCAGAAAGAATACAAAAGAAGAAAAGGTTTACTAAACAGAAACCACGTTCAACAGCGCTGGGGATTTCCCGATGTGTCTACGTTCAATTTTTCAAAGATTTTCGATGTATTTTGATGGTTCATAAAGGATCATACTTCCGTAGGTGATTCGAAGAAAAAATGAAGAGATGAACAACATATTAAATATACTCATTTCTGCTTAAGAATTAGACAACTCCAAGCAAGTAGAAATCTTATACATCCAACGTGAGTAATTTGAATGTGCACTTAAAATTTCCAAAATTTTACTAAAGGAGAGAACAACCCCTTTCTTGACAACTCCATATTGAAAATTTCCAGTTTTAACCACCATGAAAACAATAAAAGAAAGCAATTTACAGTTCATGACAGAGTAAATATATAAACAGAAGAAATCATGTCAAGTTCTCATTATAATATGACAGCAATAGATTAGGTTTTTGCTCCATTTTGTTTTTCCTAATCTCCCATAACCCATCATTAAATTTCTAACTGAAGAATCCATAATTATTTTGAAAATTCATTAAGAAACAAAAGAAGAAGTTTCCAAAACTTCCACTTAATCTTATCCAACCTTTTCAAGTGGCTACCATTTGAACAAGTAGATAAAACTGAACATGAACCATTAAAAAGAAAGAGCTGTAATAAAACCAATGAAACACACATATACAGAGAGAGATACCTGAAGTAGACAAATGGATTGACGGAATAATTGATGTGGATTGTGTAGAAAGAGAAGGGAAAGCAAGGGCAGGATTAGGATGATAATAACAAAGCAAAGAGGACTTTGCTTTATGAATTCTTTTAGTATGATTAATATAAACATCTTGGTTTTGAGTATAATGATGGGAAATTCTATTATTATAATGCAAGGTGGTGGCTTGGCATGGCGTAAGCGTTGTCAAAGCTGCCATTTTTATTTTATTTTAATTTCTCTCTCCCAGTGGAGAAGAAGAAGGTGGACGAACCAAAGGTAAGCGGTTGGGTTGGGCAATTGGCTTTTTAAGTTTTTTTTTTAAATCTTTTTCTATCTATTTATTTTATGGGTAAAGTACACATATGATCCATTGATTATACAATTTACTTTGTTGAGTATTTCAATTATTAAAAATTATAAAATAGTCTTTAAATTATAAAATATTATTTTGTTGAGTCTCATGAGTATTAAAAGTTACAAAATAATCACCTAACTATTCATATGTTCTAAACTCGTCATTTTTCATTAAAAAAATGATAGTCGTCTAAACTAGACATTAACTTGATGACCGAGATATAAAAAAATTATATTTTAATATTTTATATTGACATCGTCGATTCCTTCAAGCACTAGTTTGACGGCATAATATTCCAAGCATTAATTCCAAGACATAATATAAATAAAGACTCGATCAACAAAATATAACTCAAACAATTATGAGATCATGTTTTATCATATTTCAATGAGCAAGTTAACGTCTAGCTTAGAAGACTACAAATATTTTAACAAAAAATGTCAAGTTTAGAACATATAAATAATTAGATGACTATTTTGTAACTTTTAATAGTCAATGACTCAACAAAGCAGTGTCTTATCATCAATAAATCATTTTTTAACTGTTAATAGTTGATTCGAATCAAATTGTTCGAATTTTTATTTAAATTTAAGGGTAAAGTATAGTAATGGTCACTGAACATTTCTGAAGCTTGCATTTAGGTCCCCCAACTTTTAAAACTTGCAATACAGTCCCCAAACATTTATTCCGTTTACAATATGGTCCCCCAACTTAAACCACCGTTAGAAAATTAGGGTAAATTATATAAACGGTCGTTGAACTTTTCAGGCACTTGAATTTAGGTCCCCCAACTTTTAAAACTTGCAAAACAGTCCTCAATTTCATTCTAAACCCCAATTTCCAAAGTAATTCAATTTTATTCTAAACCCTAAATTCCAAAATAATTCAATTACATTCTAAACCCCAAATTCTAAAATTCTTCAATTTAAGGTTTAGAAAATAAATTTATTAATTATTTCAAATAAACACATATTGATATAATATATAATTTATAAAAATTCAGAATATTATTTTACCAGGTCATATTGAACCTAGATCCACCTATTTATAATAACATTTCAATAGAAAGACGTTTCAAAATATTTTAAAAATATATATTATTTTTTACTAAACACGTGACTTTATGGAATTATGAAAGTGGCGTTGTCTTGATGGAATAATTTTTGTCAATGCGTTAAGTGAGTTTGTAAAACATTTGACAGAAAAATATAAACACGTGACAAGGTTGGCCTCTTTGATGGCTGCAACTTTTTTTCTTATTTGTCCTCCTGCATTCTTTTGACATCCTTAATTCACATAGGTTATGCATGGAGTAGACCGGGATATTGTGTGGCTTCAGCGGGTCTTTGGCATATATATATGCAATCTCTTTGACACTGGACAGGTTTGTATTGTCAACTTGTCACTTCTCTGAACTTGAGGATTTAATTTGATAATTTTCTGTTAAACTCTTAGTGTTTCTATGAAGCTATTTATTGGGGTTATTAGCACTTATCAATAAATTAGGGGGAAGGAAATTGGTATCTCAGACTATACATGACAACTCTGGACTTGTGGTATAGTAACACAAATTTTGGATGATTAAGAAGATGCTAATCTCATTGGAACTCATTGAAGATGTTAAATATATTATAGGCTTGGGAATGTTACTGCTTACTGCATATTAAAGAGCCTAATTACTGTACTTTAAATGCCATTGTCTTTATGGAAATGCTTAGGCATAGTTTTGAGTGCAATTGATATACATGAATTACTTGCCTGAATTGAAGTGAAAATTTGTGTCGGATACCTACCAATTTGTTGACTTATGCTTTCATTGTTTTACGTCTCCTAATTGCTTTGCTTTTATTATATGTTTTGTGATGACAGATATGCTAGAGAAGACACGCACTATTTGCTGTACATTTATGATTTAATGAGAATCAAATTGCTATAAATACCTATGGAACCTGAACAGTGTGATGCTCCTTTGGTAGAGGTACGAAGCAATGAATCATAATTCACATTATTTTCTACATTCACCATAGTTTGTCATATCATAGTGCTGACCCTTCTTGGAGATGAGAAGCTAAGGGATTTCAATAGTCTTTAATCATAGTTAAATTCATGGAAGTGTTGTGCTCCTTTACATATTCCTCTGGCTTTTGACATTCTATTTTGTTCAAGCTTCAATGCATAATCTACGGTTGAGGCTATGTATTCAAAATGTTTAATGCATGTGTAATTTTGTTGATTTCCCCCCTTGAAATTAGCTTCTTGGTCATTGGTTCTCCTATTTTTCAAATAAGTTTACATGGATGTATGAATTGAGAACTTTATTGCTTTCCGGTATTTATTTTGACCGTTATCTTACTGGCAAAGGTTTTCCTACTAGCAGGTCTACAAGCGTAGTTCTGATGTATGCATGCAACTATATTTTTCTGTCAAATGTTTTACAAACTCACTTAACGCATTGACAAAATTTATTCCATCAAGACAACGCCACTTTCATAATTCCATAAAGTCACATGTTTAGTAAAAAATAATATATATTTTTAAAATATTTTGAAACGTCTTTCTATAGAAATGTTATTATAAATAGGTGGATCTTGGTTCAATATGACCTAGTAAAATAATATTCTGAATTTTTATAAATTATATATTATATCAATATGTGTTTATTTGAAATAATTAATAAATTTATTTTCTAAACCTTAAATTGAAGTATTTTAGAATTTGGGTTTAGAATTTAATTGAATTATTTTGGAATTTAGGGTTTAGAATGAAATTGAATTATTTTGGAAATTGGGGTTTAGAATGAAATTGAGGACTGTTTTGCAAGTTTTAAAAGTTGGGGGACCTAAATTCAAGTGCCTGAAAAGTTCAATGTCCGTTTATATAATTTACCCTAATTTTCTAACAGTGGTTTAAGTTGGGGGATCATATTGCAAACGGAATAAATGTTTGGGGACTGTATTGCAAGTTTTAAAAGTTAGGGGACCTAAATGCAAGCTTCAGAAATGTTCAGTGACCATTACTATACTTTACCCTAAATTTAATTGTAAATATTTATAATATTTTTTATATGTGATTTATATATTATATATAATTGAAATACTCGACTCAAACTTAAAAATTAATTTAATAATTATTAAAAATTTTAAATTATTCAAATTATATTTCAAACTCAATTTAAATTTTATTTTTATTAAAATCAAATTTATAAATTTACAGTTGAACTTTTTTCAGTTCAGTCGAAAAGATCGTATTGGGTCCACCATAAACAACGGCCTAAAACTCCCCAAAACAACAACGGCACAAATGTAATTTCCAATTAGAGGTTCAAAAGTAATTTCACGCCTTCCTACCTCATTCTACCCACGGTTTGAGCTTTAAACGTCGCCGTGAAAGGCTATCCATTTCATCAATCTGAACCGTGGAAAAAGAAAAGATTTCTCCTTCTTCGATTTGGAAACCCTAGAATTTGGGAGATTTGCTGGTATTGTATTTTCTTTGGTGAAATCGAAATGGTAGGAAATTCGCTCGCTGGATTGCAAGATCATTTGAAATTGGCCCGAGAATACGCTCTCGAAGGCCTCTACGACACTTCCATTATCTTCTTTGATGGAGCCATTGCTCAGATCAACAAGTAACTGTTCTTCCTTTTTTATTTTCCACTCCTTTTCCTTAATTTCAGCCGCTCATGGTTTCCCCTATTTTCGTTCCCTTTAAAATTCCGGGTTTTTATACAGTTCTGATTCGAAGCTTAGTTAGTTACATTAGTAGTTCAATTAGATTTAAAAGAAAAAGTGTCAAGGATAAAATACAAAAAAAAAAAAAAAAACAGCTGGGATTTTCTTTTTCAGATTGCCAGTTTTAAGAAAATTAGTTGTAGTTTGCAGATATGAATTATAAATATTCTATTTTATTGGGTCATGAATTACTTATTGTTTGGAATTTTTTGTGAAAGATGCATTATTTAAGAATTGTTTGAGCTAATTTGCTTAATTTTTTTTTGTTTTGTTATGCATTTAGGCATCTAACCAGTCTTGATGACCCGCTAATTCGTGCAAAATGGATGAATGTAAAGAAAGCAATATCAGAGGAGACAGAAGTTGTTAAGCAATTGGATGCTGAGAGAAGGTCGTTTAAGGAAGCTCCCAATGGGCGGCGTCCTTCTTCGCCACCGATTCATGCTAAGTCATCTTTTGTATTCCAACCATTAGATGAATACCCGACTTCATCAGGTGCCCCAATGGATGATCCTGATGTGTGGAGGCCTCCAAGTCGGGACACTTCAAGTAGAAGACCTGCAAGGGCTGGTCAAGTGGGCACGAGGAAATCGCCACAAGATGGGGCTTGGGGTCGTGGCAATACTAGAAGTGGTACGACTGGACGTGGTGCGAAGGCAGGTGGTTCAAGTAGAACTAACGCAGGGGCCAGAGCATCTACCACTGGAAAGAAGAGTACTGGCTCAGGGAAATCTACCAAAGGAGATTCAGCAGTAAGTTCTGGTTGACAGAACATCTTTCCTGTTAATTTTAACTATGTTTATTTATTGAAGTTTGAGATTTCAGTATAAAGCTTAACATGTTTGGGTTCAAAACACGGATGCATGTGGCAAGCTTGCTGTTAATATCTGAATCGGCGCTTTAATACAACCCCAAATAATTATAGGGATATGAACAGTTCTATTTCAAGGTTAAATTACTTTAGTTGGATGTTCTCAATATTTTGGTGATTGATTTGCTTTTGCAATTGCTTAGAATGGTGATGGCGAAGATGGGAAGTCTAAGAGGTCACAGTATGAGGGACCTGATCCAGATCTGGCTGCAATGTTAGAAAGGGATGTTTTAGAAACAACTCCTGGAGTACGGTGGGACGATGTTGCTGGTTTGACTGAGGCAAAAAGACTTTTAGAGGAAGCTGTTGTTCTTCCTTTATGGATGC